GATAACTTGACCTCTAACCTCTGCAGCTTCGTGTTCATGCTGATGTGATTTCTCACCATCATCATCGTCATCATGGCCTCTTCCTCTCAGGGCGCGCTGCCGTTCGACGACGACAACCTGAGGAACCTGCTGGAGAAGGTGAAGCTGGGAGTTTTCCACATGCCGCACTTCATCCCTCCGGACTGCCAGAACCTCCTGCGGGGGATGATCGAGGTGGACGCCGCCAAGCGCCTGACGGTGAGCCGCCGACCCGACAGCGAGCCGCCGACCCGACAGCCACGCCTTGGGAAATATTCTGAAATGATCTCATTTCCTGTCCTGTGGTTCCTCCTGCAGCTGGAGCAGATCCAGAAGCACACGTGGTACCTGTAAGTACAAAGCTCTGCTTTCACCTGAGAGTTTCTCATGATGAGCTGGAAAGAGGGAAAAACATGGCAGCAGATGATGATGATGATGTCATAGAGCCTCCATTAGCCGGGAAGCAGAGCAGCTCCTCTGATCTCTAATGGATTCACTGTTTCTGGCTCAGAACAGCAGAAAATGTTGCTGATCAGAGGAAAACTGTCTGCTGCTCCAAAATGGCTGCCAACAAACACCGACTGAAAAACATTCAGCACTTTGGATGTTTTATCATCTTCAAATTCAGTCCTGATCAAGTTTGTCAGATGAACGGAGATAAAAACAGTTTCTTTTCTCACCTTCTGCTTGTTTTTCATTTTATTCCAACAAAAACAAAACAAACAATAAACATAAATCTCAGGATATTATAGAACATGTGAATTATTATGCTTTGGTGTTAGCATAACTCGCTAGCGTTGCCCACTAGTGGTAAAACATATCAGTGATAATCTGGGATTATGTTGACCTTTGCCCTGGTTGACCTTTGCCCTGGTTGATCAGCGATGACTCCTCTGTAAACTGTTAGCGAATGTCGGTTCAGTGATGAACTGAAGAGTTTAAATCTTCAGTGTTCAGATTTAACTCTACCTTTTAGTTCCCACAATCCTCTGCTGCTCCTCAGCTGCTCTCTCTGCTGTTTGTGCTGCAGAGCTGGGAAAACGAGCCGGAGCCGGAGCAGCCGGTTCCCAGGAAGGTGTCCATCAGGATGCTGGGCGCGCCGGAGGAGATCGACCCGGACGTCCTGGAGAGCATGCACTCCCTGGGCTGCTTCCGGGACAAGGACAAGCTGACCAAAGACCTGCTGTCTGAGGAGTGAGTGAGACCGTCAGGCTGATGGATTCCTCCTTTAGCTGCCGGTCGTGGTGGAGCGGCTCTGCACCGCCAGGCCTTCAGCTCCGTCTTCTCTCCTCAGCGACAACCAGGAGAAGATGATCTACTTCCTGCTGCTGGACCGGAAGGAGCGATACCCGAGCCAGGAGGACCAGAACCTGCCGCCGCGCAACGAGATCGGTACGTTCTCACAGTACAATGGCTGCTGGAAAACACAAGAGTTTTGTTGTTGACTCACCGTCCAGAAACTCCATTCTGGTTGGTTGTGCTGGAGGCTCCACTGCTGCTTTTCAAAGATGTGCAGTTGTATAATTGAGCATCAGTTTGCAGCCGTTTTCAGGTTGAGTTTGGGGGCGTGGCTTGTTTGGATTTAAAGTGACAGGCCTCTAAAACAGTTAAGATGGGCAGAACTGATCAGATTGAAATAACATGTGTGTTCTGACCTTTAACCTTTGGGTCCTGAACTGTCGTTCTTCTCGTCCCGTCTCAGCAGATCCTCCCAGGAAGCGGGTCGACTCGCCCATGCTGAGCCGCCACGGCAAGCGGCGACCGGAGAGGAAGTCCATGGAGGTTCTGACCGTCACAGAGGGCGGGTCGCCCGTCCCGGTGCGGCGAGCCATCGACATGGCAACCCACGGTCAGAGGTGAGGAGCGGCGGCTGCACGGGCGTCCATGTGCATGGTCCGACGCGTCTCCGGGTCAATCGGACGTCTAAGGATCGTTTGGATCCACTGGGATCATTTTTTAAACGGTTCCTGACCGGAAGCTTCACTGAACTGCAGATCAATACTTGATCCGGCTCACTGGGTCCGGTTCTGGTCCAGCGTGCCGGAGCATGGGTGGGATCTGGACCCGGATCTTTATCTGGACCTGGATCCGGACCCGGATCGGGTCCGGTTGGTGTGAGGAGGCGTGCATGGCGCATGCAGCCGTCTCCTGTTTCATCCTTTTGCGCCAGAATGAATCAGGAAAATCAAAGAGTTTCATTTTACAAAGATCTGAAATTATAACAAAGTTTAAATCTGTTTGATGCAAACAACAAGATATTAGGGCTGCACTCTATTAATCATCAATTATTCCGGTGATTAATCTGATAAAAAACAAGTTTTATACATTAAAAGATTCTAATTAACAAATAATTCATTTTAGAGAAGAAAATAAAAGTTTGTCAGAAACATAATTTATTCAGTTTGACCATTAATAACAGGATGAATCTGCAGCTGAAGACGGCAGATCATCTGCTGGACGTCTGACCCTGCAGGGCAGATCCGATCCGATCTGATTCGATTCGATCTGATCCGATTCAATCTGATCCGATCGGATCCAATCCGATCGGATCCGGGTTTCTGCTTTTCTGCATAAATAACTGATTAAAAAGTTTGATCGTTTTTTAGACTTTATACGGGTGAAGCTAAAAATGCAACCAGAGGATTTCTGGGCAGATTTTCAGACACATTTTTGTTTTGTTTTCATCTTAAATGTAAAATATTTAATTCTTTTTGTCTTAATTGCTATTCTAACTGTTCTTTGAGCCAATGGCTTTTTCTGCATCTATAACGATTCATCGATTGCTAAATTAGTTAGCGGTTATTTTAGCAAACGATTCATCATCATTAACACAATTAACAGTTTCAGTCCGACATGCGGGTCTCGTTTCTCTGATTTTATTTCATTTTGTTTGCATGAACTGCAGCTTCAGATCAAATGAACAAAAAAGCTTCTGATTCCTCCTGGATGAATCCGCTTCCTGTTTCCATCCACCGGGACGCATTTTGGTCCCTCTTTGGTTTAATTGAACCTTTCAAACTGGATTTCCACCAGCTGAGATTCTCAGATCATCGGTTCGTTGCAGCAGAACCGCCGAGGCTCCGGTCCGAACGAGAAACTGCTGGAACACGACTGGTTCCGTCCACACTGGACCCGGTTCACCGTCAGCGTGGACTGGCAAGATGGAAATCCAGTTTTAAAATAAAGGGGCAAAGTGCTGCACAAATTTAAAATAAAATAAAACTGATGAAAGACGCGGAGGCACCGATAACAGAAAATCATTTTAACTGGTTTGGCCACCAGTGGAAGGTTTGAAACCCGATCCGTCGCTCTGGAGCCAGTTAAAGATGCATTGCTGCGTTTTGTTGCTGCGTTTTGGGCGCCTGCAGGATGCAGCTCGTTACCGTCGTTCAGCCCAGTGGAACCAGAGTTCTGGTGTGAATGAACCATAAAACCCAACAAGGACGACCTGCGTATCGTCGGCGCCGCACCGGACCAGACGTTCTGAGGAAAGAGACCTAAGACTGAGCCCTGAGGAACTCCAGCTGAACTGCTCCCGGACCGCTCCAGAACCGCTCTAGAACCGCTCCAGAACCCTGCTCTGCTCCATTCTCCTGCTGAGATTAATACTGGGTCACATGAAGCTCAACTTCACCTAAAATCAACAGCTGGGTGGTTGAAACTTCGACTCGTTTGGGTTTTCCAGCAGAACTTTGGTTCCAGGCTGGTTCTGAGAGGACAGAGTGTTCTGGCACTGAGGTTCTGGAGGACTGGACCTCTAACTGGTCGGGTTCTGATGGACTAACCTGACTTTATTTAAATATTTGAGCCCAACAGAAAAAGTTCAAATAAACCAATAAATGACATGAGTGGATGGAAACCAGTTGGTGGGGTTTGACCTCTGACCTCTGAATGCGTTTCCTGCTCTATTTTTCGACCTTTGCATGATATCTGAACCGTTTCTCTTGATTTGATAAAGTTTCTGTCTGCTGCATGCTGAACCTCTGGCCTCCTTCATGTGATCATTTTTCTGTCTCTTCGTTTTTTTCCTCCCTTTTTTTTGTTTTTTTAGCAAATCTGTTTTCAGTAAAAGCTTGGATATCACAAACGCTAACTGCAGCAAGGAGGAAAGGTACGGCGCTGCTCCGTTCCTCGTCTGTTGTCTCCCACCAGCTTTTCTTTCTTTACTCCCTTATTTTCCCTCCCAAACGTTGAAGCTGCAGCAGAAACTGATTTTATTTCCTTTGGGGCAGAAAATGTTAAATCTGAAGACAGTTTATCTTCCAAATGAAACGTCTATGAAGAGATAAAAAGACAAACCAAAAGCTTAATAAACTGATTGACAATAATTAGTCAAAAATGCAGGGATGTGACTTTTTGACTTTGAGTCCCAACAGATTTACTAAATTGTAAATCTCAGGTTGTTCAGTTTCCAATGAATTCTGCAAATAAAGTATTTGATCAAAACTCCAGACTCAGTAAAACTTTAAATGTTTCAATAAAATCCAACTCATCGTCTGAAGCCTCCGATCAAAAAGCATGGAGCCACATCGAGCAGAAATCAGCTTTTACATCTAAAAGGGTCAAATTAAAATACTCTAATAAAACTTTTAGTCTATATTTAGTCTTTGATCAGTAATCCAACATAATTTGCTACTGAAAACCTTTAAAATTTCCTTCAGACGTTTCGTTTCTCAGTTTTTATGCAAACTTCATTTTTTAAGGGTAAAAATTGGAGGAAATTTCAGGAACAAACCAACAACATTGGAGTTACTGTGGATGAATTTCAACTCAACACCCTCAACTCACCGCAGAACCTCCACAGGTCCGGATCAGACGCCAGAATGAAGCGTGAAGTGAAATCCTGGATTCGTTTGTTTCCTGTGAGAGGAGCAGGAAGTTCCTCCTCCAGCGCGCAGCGGGAACGATGCGCTGCAGTCGGACGCCATGTTTGCTGCGGCAGGAAAACCCCGTTAGCGAGTCGTTTGTGGGCCTGGATGCAGATTAGCATAAATTAATTGGCAGGAATGCAGATGGAGGGCAAACAGCACTCAGCAGCCCGTTATCTCACTCATCGTCTAATCGGGGCGAAACGACGCAAGAATTAATTTACCGCTCCGATCCGGAGAGCTGCCGGCGTTCGGACTGGACGGCGTCGCAGTGATGAGTTTATGATAATGGAGCCTCATGTGAAGCGGCAGCAGCCTGGACAGAGTCTGCAGGTGGAGCTGCAGGTGGAGCTGAAGGTGGAGCTGCAGGTAGAGTCTGAAGGTGGAGCTGCAGGTGGAGCAGAAGGTGGAGCTGAAGGTGGAGCAGCAGGTGGAGCTGAAGGTGGAGCAGCAGGTAGAGCTGAAGGTGGAGCAGCAGGTAGAGCTGAAGGTGGAGCAGCAGGTAGAGCTCAAGGTGGAGCTGAAGGTGGAGCTGAAGGTGGAGCAGCAGGTGGAGCTGAAGGTGGAGCAGCAGGTAGAGCTGAAGGTGGAGCAGCAGGTGGAGCTGAAGGTGGAGCTGCAGGTGGAGCAGCAGGTGGAGCTGAAGGTGGAGCAGGTGGAGCAGCAGGTGGAGCTGAAGGTGGAGCTGAAGGTGGAGCTGCAGGTGGAGCAGCAGGTGGAGCAGAAGGTGGAGCAGCAGGTAGAGCTGAAGGTGGAGCAGCAGGTGGAGCAGCAGGTAGAGCTGAAGGTGGAGCAGCAGGTGGAGCAGCAGGTAGAGCTGCAGGTGGAGCAGCAGGTGGAGCTGAAGGTGGAGCTGAAGGTGGAGCTGCAGGTGGAGCAGCAGGTGGAGCTGAAGGTGGAGCAGCAGGTGGAGCAGCAGGTGGAGCTGAAGGTGGAGCTGCAGGTGGAGCTGTTCAGTCAGATAAAATCCAGCTTGTTTTGACGTTTATTAATGTAAAACGTTTCTGCAGTGGATCCTCTAACTTCCTGTTTTTTCTGCCTCCTTTGGTTTTCTGGACGTTTCTGTCGCTGTTTCTACTTTCAGGTCAAAAGTGTTAAATTCTGATTTACTGCTTCCAGTTTTTAATTTCCCACCAAGCGAAGCTGCAGCCAGAAAACCTCGGCAGCTCGGCGTGTTTCCACTTCCTGCTGCTGGTCTGTGACGACGTCAGAGTGGAAAACAGGGAAAATGAAAAGTTAATGAGGCGAGAATGAAAAATGGAAAAGCTGGTGATGAGCAGAAAGAAGACGCAGCGCTGATGAATTAAACGTTTGATACGCGTTTAAAATGCTGACATGTTTTCATCAGTTAACGCTTCAGATGCAGCTCAAACTTCCTCCATTTACTTTAATAAATTACATAAACAAATAAATCATAATTACCATGACGTGACTTCATCACTGTCTGTGACTTTTATTGAGTCGCTGAGTGTTGAACTGGTTAAACTGGTTAAACTGGTTCCAGCATAAAAACCTTTTGATTCAACTTCATTTTCTCAGTAAAAGCAGAAAAATGAAATGTTTTATGATCTTTGCAAAAAGAAAAACAAACTTCAGTATTTGTTGATCTTTAATATTAATAAACAGATTCACTTTGCTTAAAGGTCAAAGGTTATCCAGGCCTTGTTCTCAGCTACATATAGAAATGGTTGTTTATAAACAGAATCAGTTTTTAATCTCATCCGCTGTTATTAATAAAAAGTCCCTCCAGGCACAGAGAGATTTAATGTTGATCATTTACAATCATGTTAAAATCAGTAGATTTTACACAGTGCTAATGTCTCTTAGTCATAACAGATTAAATAGAATAAATCAGAATAACATTTCTCTCCCCAAAATGTTTAATCCCATATTTATTTTCCACTAGTTTCATGTATATTGTTGCACAGACAGTAAATTATAAACTACATTACAAAACCTAAAAACTTTTGATTTAATTCTAAAATGTTTGGTTTCATCAAAACAGATTAGAAATTAAAAATGTGGAATAGGAAGGAAAACGGGTCAATTTCTTCACTTCTAACCGAGTTAATTGAAGTTTGACTGAAATGTTTTGTTGCTGCATTCTCACCTGATGTCGTTGCTGCAGGTCGCGGTCGATCAGCGGAGCGTCCTCCGGTCTGTCCACCAGCCCCCTCAGCAGCCCCAGGGTAAGCCTGCGTCCTGCATCCCACCTGCTGGCTCTGCTGGCATGCTTCACACACACACACACACAGACACACACACACACACTCACACACACCCACACACACACACAGACACTCACACACACCCACACAGACACTCACACACACACACACACACACACACACACACACACACACACACACACACACACACACACACAGACACTCACACACACACACACACACACACACACTCACACACAGACACACACACACACAGTCCTCCACCTCAGACTGCCATCAGCAGCCACTCAGAGCGTTTCCTGACCGTTGGGACTTTTCATGGTGAAGTCCTTCAGCTGTGGTGAGATGATGATGATGATGGTGGTGATGATGATGGTGATGATGATGGTGATGATGGACCAGCTGATTCTGCAGTGGTGTCACACAGAGCTTTAGATGAGGTGATTCTGGATCCGTCTCAGATCCAGAGATGTTCTTCCGTACGTCTGGACCTGCTGATCCGATCACCAGGTCACTGCAAAGAATCTGGACTGTTTGGTTCTGTCCTCACTGTCCTCTAATGTACCTTTTGAGGTAATACATGTCTGCTGGGAATATAATAAAATAGAAAATATAAATTCAATTCAAATAAGAGATTAATGTTTTGCTCAGTAAATGTTTTAAATATCATTTTCTTAACAGCCTGACTGACCTGCAGTCAGTTAGGAGAATTAAAAAGCCTTAATGTTGTTTTTATAGCATAGCTAATGTGCTAACTGTAATAAGATATTAGTATCTCATACGCAGCTCTTTATTGCTTTACAGCGTTATTAAAATACTAACTCTAATCCATATGGTAACTTTCCTCACTGTTAACATAAATAATGTTCTGGATGATTTAATTACATTATCATCCCAGTTAACACATCAACAGAGTTGGTACATTTTATATGCTGTCGGCATAATTAGCCAACTGACTCTAATGTTAGCATAATGAATACAAAATAATTGTAACCAAAGGTTAGGTTAAAATCAATTCACCAGATGACCTTAACTGAGATATTAGCATAGCTGAACTGCTAATTGATCCCTATTTATTTATTTTTATGCACTATTTATCAACAGACTGTAATAACAGACCCTGATCAGAATGTTAGCAAAATAACATGCTACCTCAGTTGCGTTAGCTAGTGGTAACTCAATGCAGGTATTATGCTAACTGACCCATAATCAGTTTTCTTTTCTAATCATTTAATGGCCTTTATTTCAATATGACCATAAATAATCACCATGTAATCCTGATTGCAATATTAGCATAATTAATGTGCTAACTGTAATTTTTCATCAGCATACGCAACATTCTCGGCTTTAGCACACACTAGCATAATTAAAACTGCAAATAACTTAGAATAAAAAAATATGTAAATAAGGATTATGTGGAGCTCAATTTTAATCCACATGACAGCAGCAAAAATTATAAGCTATCTGCAACAGTAGCATTTAACATACTAACCTAGCCATAGTTGACATACTTAATATGCTAACTAGCCTTTAGCGTGATATTAGCCTTGTCAATATTTAGCATAAAAATGTGACAGATTATTTGACAAACTCCGGCTAATCCCTAAACAGTTAGCATGATGACGATGCTAACGGTTAGCATGATGACGATGCTAACTGATGGTCCCCACTCTGAACTGGCTGGCTGGTCTTGTGTTTTTGGTCCACTGCGTTCTGTGGGTTCTGGCTGATCCGACCAGTCATCCTTCCTATGTCAGCACTGAGCATGCTCTCTGGCTGCTCTCCCCGGCGGAGGGCTAAGCTAAGTCTGTTAGCTGGGTCACCAAGCTGCTAGTGTTCAGGGATGCACCGACGTTCCAGAAGATAAAGACTTTTTACTGATGGCTGATTTTCAGGTCAAATGCTAAATGAGGATTAAAACTAAAGCTACTTGGGTTTGAACTCGGTGCATCCCTTCATGAATGCTTCACTGCTGCCTCCTGATTGGCTGATCACTCTGCTAATAGCATGTCCTGTTTTCTTTCTTTCTTGCACTCTCACCTCCTCCTGCCTGCTCCACTCCTCCCACCATTTTGTTCCATTTCTGGCTGTTTTAATCTCATTTCTTCTGTATTGGAATGAACTTTTTCTGGCTTTCTCATTGGCCGACGCTACTGTCACGTGTCACGCTGCATGGCCAACCGCAGCCCCACCGCCGGTTTTTCGTCCCGCCCCAGTCCCCCGATCTCTGTCAGTCCCCGAACTGCAGCCCTACGCACCTGAACGGGGTGGGGCCCCGCGCGCCCTACCAGCCAAATGGGGTCCCCCCTCATGCACCCCCGCACGCAGACGCTCCCCGCCAAGCCCAAAGTGTCAGACAAGCCCCTGCAGACCACCAGGTCCAACCCGCTGCCCCACACGGCCCAGACCCCCGGCGCCGCCAAACCCGAGCCGTCCACGGCGAGCCAGCCCCCGGCCCCCAGCAGCCCGCGGACCAGACGCCACCCTCCCCTCACCGTCCCCCCCAAGCTGTCCATCCCGCTGTCCCCGGTGCCCCCCCTGTCCCCGCTCCGCCGCCACCTCCACCCTGACCACAACGCCAAATCTGTCCCCATCACGCAGGTAACCCCACACCCCTCCCCCAGAGGGAGCCCCCTCCCCACCCCGAAGGGCACGCCGGTGCACACGCCCAAGGACAGCCCGGCCGGCACGCCGAGCCCCACGCCGCCGCCGAGCCCGTCCATCGGCGGGATGCCCTGGAGGACGCGCCTCAACTCCATCAAGAACAGCTTCCTGGGCTCGCCGCGCTTCCACCGCAGGAAAATGCAAGGTATGATGGGAAAACGCTGCAGCATCACTTCATCTGATCCAAATAGTATCAAAATGCAGCACAAAATCAAACCGCTCTGGTTTCACCTGCAGCAGCTGAAGGATCCTGTTTAATTTGTATTTGTGACAAACAGTCGCCTAAAAAACGAAGTCGCAAAACGCCGCATATAGAATATATTTAATTTTTGTGATTTTGTTTTGAAATGAAAAGCCAAACCAACCAAAGACAGATTGGTTATTATTTTAAATTTCATCCATCTGGACTGGCAGAGAACCAGGTGGCTCTGGAGGAGCTGCAGAGATTCACAGCTCAGGAATCCAAACTGGAAAAGCTGCTGCGGTTTGTGAAACCATGAAGCGCCGCTGTGGTTCGGTCCGTCGCAGCCCAGATTGATAATAAATTATGATTCTGCAAGATGAAAGGTGAAGAGTTAAAGGAGCATTAATACGTTACAACAAACTAGATCCTGATGATCGTTTTAATATCGTAGGAAACTGTTCGAGACAGTCGCTGTAATCCAGATGTTTGTTTGTCTGCAGTTCCCACCCAGGAGGACATGTCCAGCCTGACCCCAGACTCGTCTCCAGAGTGAGTTCAGCTCTTCCTGTCGTCCCTTACATGAAACAAGTCAGTGAAGCAGAAGGGAAGGTGGGAATGTGACACAGGAAGCAGCTGGATGAGTCAGCTGACGCCACGCTGCTGCAGTCACAGTGTTATAAATAACTAACAGAAATAGAAAGGCTGGCGTCGCCCAGCAGGGAATAAATCAGGTTAATCTGAAGATTTATTCTCATGCTTCCTCAGGTCTACCACATACAGTCAAATTCACACAGTTTAAGAACTTTCCAGGAGTTTTCCAGGATGTTGTTTTTGTTTTGGTGACTCCTGATTGGTTCCTGCAGGCTGGCTAAGAAGTCGTGGTTTGGGAACTTCATCAACCTGGAGAAAGAGGAGCAGATCTTCATCGTGATCCGGGACAAACCT